ACCGTACAGTATGAAAACTTAGCACAAGAAAGAAAAAATAACGACGCAGCCATGCAAAAGGCAATGAAAAGTGCAGATATTATAAAAGCTAATAATGACTGGTTAGATGCCCAAGCCAACGCTAAAGCAGCCCAACTTATAGGGTCAATAAGGACAAAAATACAAGCGGATGAAGACAGTTCAAATGAAGCTTTAATGAATGCTGACTTTAAGAATGCCTTCGAAGCTCTTCATAGTAAGGTGAAACTAGTGAACGACTTCTCATCTGGAAAGAAACTGAAGTCTGAAGGTTTCGACAAAGAGTTAAGAGAAGTAGCACAAAATATGACGAAAATAACAGATGCAGCAACGAGACAGGCAGTTCAAAGTGCCTATGACGCCGTTAGAGCAGCTGTCGTGGAAAGTCAAGAAAAAGAGTTACAACAGACCAAAACAGACCTAGTAAATGCTTTCTTAAGAATGAAAAGTCAGGTAGGACATTATGCTGCAGATGGAACATATGTGCCAGCTGGTGGAACTTATATACCACCAAACCCTCCAAGAGAAGCACCTGCACCAGGACTACCTAAAACATTTACATCGTCACATGGACACAGACACAGGCATGCACCAAAACCAACACAACAACCAACAGTTCAAAATCCAGCACCACAACAACAACCAAAACCAACAGTTCAAAACCCTGCACAACAACCAACAGTTCAAAATCCAGCACCTGCACCACAACCAAAACCAGCACAACAACCACCTCCACAACCAGCACAGCAACCAAAAGTTCAAAACCCTGCACAACAACAACCACAAACAGAGCAAGGACATAAAAGAAGTAGAGGAAACCAAGAATTCTTAAAAATGCTTAAGGAAGATTATGGTTACCCAGATACTCTTGACTTTAGTGACAGATATAAAGAAGCTATTAGAAAGTTCAAGGAAGGAAATACTGACCCGAACCTATTTAGCTTTATGGTTCAGCATCAAATCGGATATAATCTCAAACCTGGAAAATACAAGCTCGCTAGGGGATATGATTTAATAGCATATCATCCAAATGACATGGATGAATTTACTCCGAGATATTGGATGTCAGAGCTAAATGATAATTCAACTCTCTTCATGAAACGCGTAAAAAATAGAGACGGAACGAAAGAAGAAAGGTTTATGAGTCCGGATGACTTAGATAGGGAATTTGTTAAAAACGGTCTCGGAATATATGAAATGCCAGCAGATGAGGTACAAGAAACTCCACAGGAAGAAGTTCAGATACAACCAGACATGGAAGAAATAGTTCAGCAACAACAGCTAGAAGAGCCTGAAGGAAACGAACAAGTCCCTCCTTTGGAAACTAACTTCACAGAACTAGATGAAGATTTGGAACAGCCGAAAAATCTTGACCCTCAACAAGAGTATGAGGAGAATATGGAATCTTTCCAAGAGTCTAAGAAAAATTCGGCTGACATAGTAGAAGGATATCGAAAAATGTTCACCAACATACAAAAGACTCCAACATCAGATGAAAATATTCAGCATAGAATGGAAGTACTGAAAGAAAATGTACGCAAATACAATAATCCTTTTTACTTACGACCATATAACGTTCAATCTTTGGCTGAACTCGGTGAAAAATAAAAGGTTAAATTTCAACAAAACATATAGAAATGAAACATTGTTTAAAGTTCATTCAGAACCTAACCAATATGGAAACAAACCTACTTTTGTTTCTGCAGACTATGGAACTACAATGAGATGGGGTCATAAAGCTAATCCGGATAGGTGGTTCATAAACTTACAACTTCAATTCCAAGAAGTTGTAGACGCAATGGAATTGAATGGTGAACCAGATATAGCTGGTATTTTCAGCGCGGCTTTAATGCCATTGAAAGATATGAAAGATGCAGATATTTTGGACCGGTATGAAATGAACATGGCTGAGGGAAATATAACACCTGACGTTCTAGAACATTTATCTCAAAGAACTACACAGAACCATAGAAATGGTATATTTGGTGAAGAGTTTAGAAAGAAAGTTAGGAGAGAGAAGGAAGAGAACCTATTGATACATGACCTTGCAAACGAAAGTTTGCAAAATGTCATAAAAAACTTACTTTGCAGACAATGAACTGAGAAGGGATGAATATTAAGAAAACTCAAATAGACAGTACCAAATGAAATGTTAGTATTGAAAAACATGTTCCATGACAAAATAAAACCAACTACAGAAATAAATGACGCAAGACTGAAACGTTGGGTAAAAGCTTTCCCATTCACAAAAGATATTATTGGTTACATGGAAAGAAAACCAGAATGGCTACAAAAACATATATTTGGAAACGAGCTTATTCCATATGGACAAGCTATATTTGAAGAGCTTGAACCGGGAAACTCAGGAAAGAGTCATGCAAACAATAAGCGGAAGACTCAAATACAAAACTATGACAAAATCTTTCTAGGATATAGGTTACCTGAAATGGGCGACCAGAGCCCAAAGGCAAAAAGGACATGGGAAATTTACAACATACTAGGTGAACATGAGGCAAAGTTGCTACAACTTGAAGCAGAGGGCAAGTTACCAAAAGCGACACCAAAGAAGAAGAGAAGAGTAGAACAAAGTGAAAGTAGTGAAGAAGTAACTTCATCTAGTGAAAGTAGTGGCAATGAAGGAAAAAAAGAGTTAAAGATTCAGTTAAAAACTCAGTCAGGAAGAAAGTAAAGCTTGGTCCGAGTGGGTTCTATTATGACATATAAATCCAACCATTCTATATTTTTACCCATATGAAATGTACGCCGCTCAGAATATAACGCCAACAGTATTGGATGCCATGAACGGAAATGTTTCCGAATGGTATAACGAATGCGACAATGCCATTAGAAGGTCAGAAATAGTTCCTGGAACTTACGAATATACAACTGCTGTTTCTTATGGAAACGTAGGTGAGTTTGGAGAAGGTTCTTCAACAACAGTAGATATTGCTTGCGACAGGTTTCACATTATTTCTATTGACAACTCATTCTTATACGTGGAACAAGACATTGAAATAAAACCTTCTGCTGACTGAGAGTAAGAAAGGTTGCAATGGTATTTTCTATGTCGGATACCAATATGCTCCAGAAGTTTTTATGGGATATAAGATATATTCTAACTCTGACTTAGTTCAAACAGTAACATGGGCAAACTATGAATGGTTCGCTTTAAGAAACTCAGTACAACCACAAGCTAGAGAACAAACAGACCAGTATGCAACTATTGAGAAAATAAGAAGACTTGACCCTAACGTTCCAGGAGTTTATGTTAACCTTTCTGGTTCAGATGGAACTGCTGCCACTAAAGTAAAACTGAAACTTAGAGTTCCTTTGTCATCTTTCCTCATCTTCAGGTTTTTAAGATACTTGCCAAACTGGGCAGGAAAAATTTCTATCGAACTTACTCCAAGCAAAAATAACTTAGTCATTGCACCAACACAAGACCCATTCACTCTTACAGATACAGCTGGTGGAGCTGCCAGCATACCATTTGGAAAATGGTGCAAAGAGAAAGTTGACTTAGACTTTGGTTTCTCAAACCTCAACACTGAAGTAAACTACTACTTCTCAGGAACAGCAGACAACAATACTGCTTGGGTTCCTATTAAGTTTACATGCGAACAGTTTGAATGCAAGAGAATAGAAAGCAGACTTGCAGTCTATATGTTGGACCCAGATATTTCAAATGCTTTAGCTGCCAAATATATTGCAGTTCCACTTATGTTCCCTATACACCAAATATCTGTCAAAGACTTTGCAGGTGAAGTTGGAAACCAAAATCCAGGAGCCGCAGGTGCAAGAACAGATATTGCTTTAACAACTGCAATGAAACATGCAGATACTATGTTTGTACTGTTCAGACGAACTATAAATGACTATTCTTGTTTCTACAACCCTGGTATTAAATATCATATAAACATAGATGGCAAATATTATCAAAGAGAAGAATATTCTACAGTTGAGGATATGAGGTCATACAACTTGACATTAGATGCTATGAACTTTAACAACAACTTCACAACAACTATTAACCCTGAGATGCAAACTTCTATTATGCCATATGTAAGACTATATAACCATTTAGGAGTTCCAACAACCCAGTATACAAACGGAGATAAGTCAAACTTTTGGCTTGGCATTCCATTTGCTGACTCAGAAGACTTTATGGGTGGTATTTCAACTGTTGGTACAGTACAAATACAATATACTGGTGACAGAGACGATCCAGATGAATTGAGAGCAAAGAAGTTTACAAAACCAATAGCACTTTTCACGGAAGATGCTCTTTTGAAGATTCGTTCGATGAAACCTGCTGGGGCTCCTCAGATTGGCATAACGACAGCTTCCATCGAGCAGATTTTGGCAGCAGGTCAGTAAGTTGTTCTTGAACTGACTTTTGGGTCCAACATATTTAGCTGCCAAATATATTGTTTTCTCCGTCAAATATTGACAGTACGCCAGTTTTGACATAATATTGTAAGATAAACTTACCTTTAGAAATATCTGTAAGTTTTGAAGTTATATTTTTGTCTGCTTCAAGAACTTTCACCATTTCAGTTATACCAACTTTCTTTGCTTTATGAAAATATTTTGGTTCAGCAAATATTGCTATTCTATAACATTTACCATTGTTTGTATAAAGAACTATTCTGTCAATGAACTTGTATTGTTTGTGAGTATTAACCTTGTTTTGCTTCAATTCGAAGAGATACTCAAATGCGTCCATATTTTTATTCGAAGTAAAATATCATTTCCGAAAAATAGAAGCGTGAGTGTTTCAAAAGGTTTAATGGCAGTGGCAGATGTGAAGTTAAATTCACCGACACAAACCAACAGTCAAAGTGTCATTGTCAATGTCAAAGACAGAGATGTTGAAGTGGGGAAACCATACGAAGACGAAGATGGTATAACAATTGTTCCTGTAAAAGAACCAACATATCCTGAAGTTAACAGAGACTTAAGTTCTGTTGCAGACATTCGAAATGCAAGCACAGCAATCCGCCGCCCAGGAAATTGAAATTTTCCTCACTCCATATGAGGAAATGAGGGCTCTGGTTAATGAATGGGTACAGAGTTGGAGCCATCAGAGAAACCCCAATACAATTCGGAAATTGAACAAACAAATCCGAATTGAATTATCCAGGCTTCAAGACTACCATAAGAAAGCCCAGGAAGCCAAAACAACAGCCGAGGCGCTGAAATACGAAAGCAAAGCAGAGAAAAAACAAATTCTCATTGAAGTCCTCGAAAACAAATTGGACGAAATTGCCCCAGAAATGGACGAAATTGCCAAAAAAGCTTCCGAAGCCCAGAAAAACCAAAACATCACCCAGATGGAAGCAGTTCTCCAAGAATGGTTGAAACTCAACCGCAAATTGACTAACTAATTCGAAAAAAAATTCGAATAAAAATTTCATTTTACTATTCTTATATACGAAAAAAGGAGATTTGACAGAATGTCAAATCTCCTCAAAAAGTGACAGTTTTCATGGCAAACAATTGCGAGCAATTTTTAGCCATTTTGGCTGAGAACTAGGGTCTGCGAGGTACATAGATAGAATCAGTACCTCGCAGACTCTAGTTCTCTATATGGCGCCGAGAAATTTTGGTGAAATGCGACGACATTTCACCAAAATTTTCTCGACGCCATAGGATGAATTGGAGGGTGTGAGATACTATTACATATAATAGTACTCACACCCTCCAAAACCTCGAAAATCTCAAAATTTCCTGCAATTATCATCAACTTTGCATAGCACAATCGGCCAAAAATTCATTCAATTGTCCTTCTTCTCAATATTTCTTAACTCTTTCGATTTCTTTCAAAATATCTTTCAATAATCTTTCAATGATAAATATTATACAAAAACGATTAGTATGAAACTTTTTTGCATTTTAAAAATATTTTATATTTCTGTTTTTATTTCAATTTTTATATTTTTATTTTCCTTTTTTTAGATGAAACTTATTTGTTTACCAATATTCCTTATTTTATAAAATTTTTCAATTGAATACTACAATAATTTTATCTCTCCTTTATTAAATTTTCGATTTTTATGTTAATTCTAATTCTTTGCACTATTTCTTGTCTAAATCTTCTAAAATTTTTATTTTAATTTAATTTGACACATAATCATCCTTTTAATTTTCGATTCAAATCCTTATCCTCTTCATTATTTTTCAATAATTTTTTTATCGTAATTTGTAAAATTCGTTCTTTTATAGCTGTTTAAATAATCCAAAACCATGATATTTATTATTGTTAATTATTCCTAATCATGTTTTTTCCATTAATTTTAATTTTTTATTTTCTGAACCATTTAAATTAATTTTGTTAAGAATATTTTTTCAATATAGACTTCTGAAATAATTAAATTATTCTCAAATTCTCACAAATTATTTCATTTCAAATTTGTTTAAAATGAATTTGTACACCTTAGTTGATTCAGCTTGGCTTGAAACAGCTCTAGCACAGATTCAAAGGCGCACACCGTTAGCCATTGTTCTCACAAATGTTCCATTAGTCAACAACACTATTCGTTCATCAATTAACAAGATAACATTTTACAAAGCTCTCTTATGTAATAGACTAATTACTATTGAAGAGTACTTACATCATACATACAAACTTCAAGAGTTTACTACTTTCTACATTAAATATAATAATCGACTCTACGAGTGTTCATCCATTTTGAAACACAGAGATGACACTCTCCTTACCGATTATTTGATATTACAAAGTTCAACCGACTCTCGTATACAGGAAGAACCCTCATCAGCCAGCACTCCTCTACAACGCCAGCTTTCATCAGCCAGCACTACCAACTCTGTTCCACAGCAACAGCTCTCAACAGCCAACGCTCCTCTACAAAGCCCACTTTCTGCCAACACCCCGCCACAACGCCAGCTCTCTGCCAACTCTCTTCCACAGCAACAACTCTCTGCCAACACCCAGACACAACGCCAGCTCTCTGCCAACACCCCTCTTCAGCGCCAGCTATCTGCCAACACTCTTCCACAGCAACAACTCTCTGCCAACACTCCTCTTCAACGCCAGCTCTCTGCCAACACCTCGGCACAGCAACAGCTCTCTGCCAATACTCAGCCTCAGCCTCACCCATCTGTGTCTATTCCCCTTAAGCGCGGGAGACCCAAAGTTAATGTACCAAAAGATCTTAAGGTAACCATTAGAAACCTAATTGAGCAGCATGGCCATCTTGGAATAATCTCCGCCTATAACCAAATAAATAAAGATATCGAATATGCCAAATCTCATTTTGAGGCATTTTTGGACATAAAGATGGGTATTGTTCCACAGCCAACGCCTACCCAAGCATGGTTCTCCGCTATTGAACATTTTAAGCCCCTGAATCAAATTTCTTCCACAATTCCTTCCGGACTTATGATTGAAGAGTCTCCATTATCATTTCCATCTGAGCTGAGGAACATTAAATATCTTACAAACCCTCTTCCACATCCCCCCTCAAGACATATGGTAGAAAGAGCTTTTAGAGAGCTAGGCTTGGCACGTCCAAGGGGACCCTATCGGCCAAAAGGAAAGACAAGATACTTAGCTGCCTCTCCTAACCAAATATGGCACGTTGATATCCACTTTCTTGGCAAAAAGAGAAGTCAGATTCTTTATGCTGTGATTGATGACTGCACAAGGCTCATCATAGAATGGCAGCATCTTTCGTCAAAACATGCTAGCCAAACAGTGAAAGTAATTAAGAGAGCAATAGCCCGTTATGGACCACCACATACAATTTGGTCCGATAATGGCGGCGAGAATAAAGGCGAGTTCCTAAAGGCTATGAGGGTTCGGGGGATCAATAATGTATATATTGTCCCCCATTGCCCATACCAAAATGGGAAAATCGAGCGCTTGTGGCCTAACATAGAGAGCAGAGAGTTGTCATGGGCAAAGATTCAACAATGGGTTGAGTACTATAATGCTAAACCTCATCTAGCATTACCAACTCATTATGTGAATGGAAAACAAATTCACTATAGCCCATCTGAAATGGGGAAGAAACTTCCAATTTGGAAGAGGGGAATGCCGGCAAAATGGATTGTGGATGGAGTCTCTCAAGATTTTCTTCCAAGTTCACTTATGGCCAATGAGATGCCAGAGCTCCAAGGAATCGAAGAAGATGAATGGGAAAAAGAAGGCGAGGAAGTTGAAGAAGAAGAAAATAAGGCGAATCCGGTTGAAATAGAAGAAGATAGTAATGAAGAAGAAGAATACGAAGTAAATTATGAAGAAGAATATCAAGAAGATTATGAAGACCCTTATGAAGAAGATTATGATGATTCATTTTAATATTACGAATAAAATGTCACTTTTCTATTTTTGACACGTAAAGTTATCACTTTTCTGTCAAACTGTTTTTATCGTTTTCGTATATAACACTATTTTTTTGAAAATTTTTTTTGATGTGTTTCATCGTCGCTGCACAGGTCTCCATATAGGGGACTTACGGGTACATTTTGATGTGTTACATCGTCGCTACACGGGTCTCCATATGGGGAACTTACGGGTACATTTTGATGTGTTACATCGTCGCTACACGGGTCTCCATATGGGGAACTTACGGGTGTTTTATCGTCGTGGTCGAGAAAAAGTGTCATTTTTTTTAATGCAAGCAGAGCAATCCGCCGCACCATTGTCTCCTCCCACGACCCTTGTTCCACAAGCACCAGAACCAGAACAAGATGCAAGTGAAAGTTCATCAGGGGATGAAGCAATTCCAATGAGTGCAGGCAGCAATTTGTCCTCGAATTCGAATTCGAATTCAATTATAAAACAAACTGCACGCAAAAGAGGTCCAAGAGACACTCCCTTCCTCAAAGCACTTCGAGAAGAAAATGTTCATCTAAGACACGAGAAGCAAAGAATTTTGAAGAAATTCGAAGCTGTTAATGAGGAATTGAAGAACTTTAAGGAGGTAATAATAATAAAAAGTAATGAAATAGACAGGCTCCGAGAAGAACTCGGACAAAGAAAGTTGCAATTCGACAAAGTTCTACTCATTTATTTAAACATTTATTATTTCATTTATTATTTCATTTATTATTTCATTTATTTAAACATTTATTATAAAAAAGAATTGAAATTGAAATTGAATTGTTTAGTCATTTAAAAGACTTCATAGCGTTGGAATGTTTCGCTTTCATTTGCTTCTTTGTTTTCTTTAACTTCTTCTTCCTCTTCCTCTTCTTCGTCGTCAAGGTTAATTGGGTCACCAACGAAACCAGCAAGGAAAATTTTTACACGTGTGCCTTTTGGTTTTTGAACGGAAAACTTAACTTCTTGTGTGAAAACATACTCACAGTCTTGTTTGAACTAGACGGAGTAGTGAGTAAATTGGCACAATTTATTTGGTGTTTTTCCCAAAACGTAGGCGTGTATGACAACTTTTTCACCAAATGGAACACGTTCTGGTTCAACCATTGCAATTGTTGTGAGAATGTGAGTGAAATCAGTGTAATAAGCGCTTGGGTATATTTTGAAACTCTTTGAAACTTTTCCTTCAGGAATGTCAAAATAAACACGGAAGGAGTTTTGTTTTCCATATGGTTCTGCTTCTTCTAACCAATTGTACGAAATTGCGTAAGGTTTGAATATCCTGAGCTTCGAGTACATTTGAGACTGGCTTGCTTTAGGAAAGCATTGTATAAACTCGTCAATGACTTGAAGACCAATGACTGTAGCAGTGTATGGCAAAATTGTTATGAAAAAGTCAGCGAGTATAGTTGGGTTCTTGACCTTGTTTTCAAACTTCTCAACTGCTTTTATAATAGCGTCGTAAAACTCACTGTAGTCTCTTTTGTCGTCATTTGACAAATTTTCAGTGTAATTTGTCATGAACTTAATGAGTCTCTTTTTTGCATGTTTGCGACGTGTACTGTCCCATGTGGCAGGGTCTGTATTTTGCTCAACTTCAAAGTCTTCTGAATCCGAGCAATCTGAAACTGTCTTCACTGTAGCGGTAGTTGGTGGTGGTGCTGGAACTACAACTGGTGCTTGTGCTTGTGGTTGAGGTTGAGGTTCTGAAGTTTTTAATTCAATTCGGTCTGCAAGATGTTTCATTGGTTGTCTTCCTCTTCTCTTCTTCACAGTGTTTAAAGGTGGTGGAGGTGGGGGAGGTGCTGGTCTAGAAGCCATTCGACCAATTCTTGGCTTTGGAGTCATCATAAGAAAATGACACTTTTTTAGTTTTGAATGAATTGCTTTGAAAAAGTATTTTTTAAGAGAATTTAAATGGTCTATTCAAAACCACCTTTACCTTTCTTCGGAAATAAAAGCAGATGTAAAGATATTATTTTAAAGGAATTAAAAAAGCTTCCTGAAGGTTTAATTTTCGTAGACTTATTCGGAGGGTCATTTTATATTTCGCATTTATGTCATTCTATATTTCCTGAGAGTGTTATTATATGTAATGACTATGACAATTATATGGAGAGATTAAAACATATACCAGACACAAATAAAATATTATTAGAATTAAAAGAAAAAATAAATATTAAAAAATCTGACAAAATACCATTAGATAAAAAAGAAATTGTAAGAGATGTTTTAAAGAATTCGAAATATATTGACTGGGATACTATAAGTGCTAGGCTATTATATTCTGGAGCTATTAGAGTACATGACATTGAAACATTAATGTCAAAAGTTTTGTATTTAAATTATACAAATAGATTTAATGAAGACATTTCAAAATATTGTTGTGCATGAAAATTCGGTTCACTTCACTTCTGACAAAAGTGACAAGTTTACATGGCAAAAATAGTTTACATGGCAAAAATATATAGGGTATTTTTTTTAAAAGTAGTTATCTTTATATATATAAATAAAACTTTTGATATATTTGAGTAAATGATTTAATAATTTATTTATTTATTTTTTTTAAATCAATCATATAAATATATATATATATAATAGTGAAATAGAACAAGAGATAATTATTGATGATTAAATTGTAGACGAGGATAAAAGTTTAGATAAATTAATAAAATTAGTGTGGAATCAGACAAATTTCGGGTTGTTTGGGAAGGAATTGTTGGCTATGATGTACTGATTCATGATCAGTACATCATAGCCAACAATTCCTTATACAAAGTTCAAAAACTTGGGTGCAATCAGTTCTGATTGCACCCAAGTTTTTGAACTTTCTCGAGGGAATGAAAGGGTGAGAGATATATAGTCTATCTATATATCTCTCACCCTCTAATTCCCTCTCTGACAGCGGGAAACTTTGTCTGAATGTTAAACTATTCAGACAAAGTTTCCCGCTGTTTGCGAAGGAATTGTTGGCTATGATGTACTGATCATGATCAGTACATCATAGCCAACAATTCCTTATACAAAGTTCAATCACATTTATACAACCCAAATCTATACCAATCATACTCTTATTCATACATCATATTTTAAAAACTTTTTTGCAATATGATGTTATTGCAACAAATTTTTTTCTTTTCTACTTCCAATTAGCAGCTTAAAAACATTAGACACAATCACTGGCTCATATGCTCCTATTCTGAATCTAACACTATGCAAATTTATACAATTTCTCCACAAATCTTACATTCATTTTAATTTCAACTGTAATGCATGAAAATTCGGTTCAATTCATTTTTGACACTTTACATATCGGATGTATTATCTAAGAATTATATTATAAAATAATAATTTTGTGTTTTATAAGTTTATTTGTATAAATTGATTCAAAAAAAATGGAAAGACAAGAAGTGGATCTGCCAAATGAAAATCAGATTTATATTACGGCATATCTTGAATATTCTATTGGCAAAAAGACAGCAGACCAAGTTGCAAAAGATTTGCACATAGGTAGAAAAAAATTATTATTAAAATGGCAAGAACTTGGTTTAAATCCAAAAAAGCTCGGAAGACCAGAAACTCCTCTTAGAACAGATTTGTTACCAACCATTCACGAAATAAAAGCTAAGTACAATCTAGGTTATAAAAAAGTTTGAGTATATAAGAATTTCCGAAAAAGTGACACCCCAAAAGTGACACTTTCAATAGGGGGTAACACTTAAAAAGTGACAATTTAAAATTCACAATAAATAAAAATAATAAATTTTTTAGTCTATTAAATTATTCTTTTCTTTGAAATCCTCCAAAAATTCTTCGAAATGTTCTAAAATATAATCTGGAGAATTATAACAAAATTCATTAATTTCTAACATATACGTATCTAACAATTCATTTGGAATTTCAAACGATCTTAAATATGTAATTGAATTTTGTATCTTCTCATTTATTTGAGAAAGTTTTTCTTCAGCATTTTCCAATAAAAATCTTAATGGATTCAAATTGGCTTCTTGATTCTGAACAAAATTTAATACTTGGTATAAACGTGATTGAACTTCTCTTTTCAATTTTGTTTTATAATCTGTCAATCGAGGCTCGCGAATTCTAATTGAAGGAATAAAACCTGTTTGAAGTAAATCGTTTTTAATACGATAAAGTAATTGGGTGCAACTTCTTCTAAAAGATTTTTGACAAAAACATCAATTCTTTGATTTTTAACGCAGCCAAAATCGTGATATTTTATCTTTTTAAATAAAGATTCAGAAACGTTATTCACAACGGTTAATTCATTTGGTCTGGCAGCGGCTATCCACATCATAGCCAACAATTCCTTATACAAAATTCAAAAACTTGGGTGCAATCAGTTCTGAACTTTCTTGAGGGAATTAAAGGGTGAGAGATTTATAGTCTATCTATATATCTCCCACCCTCTAATTCCCTCCCTGACAGCGGGAAATTTTGTCTGAATGTTTAAACTATTCAGACAAAGTTTCCCACTGTTTGCGAAGGAATTGTTGGCTATGATGTACTGATTCATGATCAGTACATCATAGCCAACAATTCCTTATATAAAGTTCAAAAACTTGGGTGCAATCAGAACTGATTGCACCCAAGTTTTTGAACTTTCTTGAGGGAATAGAAGAGTAAGCGGTATATATTATGAATATATACCTCTTACCCTTCCATTCCCTCTCTGACAGCGGAAAACTTTGTCTGAATGTTAAACTATTCAGACAAAGTTTCCCGCTGTCAGCAAAAGAATTGTTCCATCTGGTGCATAGAGTGTGAATCTATGCACCAAATGGAGCAAGTCCCTCGCGAAATTGCCAAAACTTGCGTCGCATTTCAAAGATTGCGACCCAAATTTTGGCGATTTCTAGTAGAGATGGAGTATTTTGAGTTACTGACCTATATGCAGTGGCTCAAAGGGCTCCATCTCTACTTTGAAGCAAGGAAACTTTCCTCGAAATTTTGATAATTTGAAGAAAGTTTTCAAGCAATTAACAAAGGATTACTCGCTATGAGGTAAAAATTCTAGATTTTCACCTCATAGCGAGAGCTTCCCTTTCATTGCTTGAAAACTTTCCCCAGCTTCAAAATTGGGGAAAGGGCTGTAAAGTCGACTCCGATACCAGCAGGTACCAGAGTATTTAAAAGAGAAGCCCTCGTACGAGTTTCTATGAAGACCTTCTCATTCAAGAAGATCTTAATAGAAAATCGTACGAGGGCATTGGAAACTCGCGTCTGGTACATGTTAGTACCAGAGTGTTTGAGATTTGAAGACTCTGGTACTAACATGTACCAGAATTTATGATGAATTTAAGATGGACCATTATAAAATGGTAGCGGTTTGTTTCAAAAAAAATTAGATGAGATTTGCATAGATATAGATTATATGATTTATACATATGAAAAATAATATATAAAAAAAAAAAAAAAAAAAAAAAAAAAAAAAAAAGGTAGTGGGGCTTCCAGGCACTTCGTGCCTTCTAGCCCTGAAGATGTTTAGTATAAATGAAGTTTTTATTCGGAAAATTGTTAGTCTTCTGGGTCGAAAACATTATATAATGTGTCGCTTTTCACAAATTATATATGTTTTCATGTTTTGTCACTTTTCTGTCACTTTTCGGGTAAAAACATTTTTATTATTATATATAAATGAATTTTACAAAACCACCGTTACCATTCTTTGGAAATAAGAGTAGATGTAAAGATATTATATTGAGAGAACTTAAGAAACTACCGAATGGTCTAACATTTGTAGATTTGTTCGGTGGAAGTTTCTATATATCCCATTTGTGCCATATAATATTTCCAGACTCAAAGATTATATGCAATGACTTCGACAACTATATGGACCGTCTCAAACATATACCAGACACAAACAATATATTGAAAGAGTTAAAAGAAAAGATACCTATAGGTAAGATGGAACGTATACCATTAGATAACAAAAATATTGTGAGAGAGGTTTTGAAAAAAGCAGAATATATAGACTGGGATAGTATATCTGCTAGACTATTATATAGTGGTTCTATAAGAGTTCATGACATTGAAACACTTATGTCAAAAGTTTTATATCTTAACTATACAAATGTTTTCAAAGAGGACATAGAAAAATATATTGAGGGTATAGAGTTTGTGAGATGTCATTGGACAGATTTGTATGAAAAATATAAAGACAAGGAAAATGTTTTCTTTATAGTGGACCCGCCGTTCTATAACACATGGGATTTTCAATACCAAGTAGACTGGACTTTGAGAGACTCTTTAGAAACTTTAGACGTTTTACATAACTGTCCATGCTTTTACTTTACATCCGATAAAAGTGGTTTGGAAACCGTTATGAGATGGTTAGAGGACATACATGACTATGAGTTTAGATATGACAAGATAGAATATGAGAGAGGTCCTATAAACCGGAGAAAGTGTCATAACAAAGAAATTTTATTGGTAAGTAAATGTGGTTTGAAATAGGACTACTTGTTTTAGGTTTTTTCCATTGTGTCATTTATTTATTTGACGTGGCAGAAAAGTACAGAGAATATGAAGATGAACCAATGCCTGCAAATGTTCAGCATATGTACTCGTAAGAGATATTTTTATCTAATATTAAATGGACGCACAGAACTTAGCAAATGCACAGCAACCTGGACAACCAAACCCAGAGAATATTCCAAATGAAGTTAGAATACAAACTGCAATGGCAAACTATGGTCAAGTGCCAACAGATGTACAAATGCAAACTGCCATGTCAAATGACGCTGCGTTAGGTTTGCCACCATGGTATGCAAATATGAGATGGAAAGAGTTTTATACAAACCCTGAAGTGGGATATAAACAACTCTATGCAGATGACGCGAACACAGGAGTTGACCCAGAATATGTTTTCTACCAGAGGAGAAACAGAATGTATGAGCTCCAGTTAAAGAATGCTATGGAACTCAACAGGAAACGTAAGAGACTAGGCGGACATTAGATTTTTACATATAGTAAAATGGGTTTCTTTGGAAGAATAGGAAACTTCTTTCGAAATGTTGGAAGAGGTATATGGAATGGAATAAAATCTGTCGGAAGAGGAATTTGGAACGGTGTCAAAAATATTGGTAAAAGAGTAGGTCAGTTCGTTGGTATTATACCTAAAGACCCTGAACCAGAAGAACAAGCTCCTGTTATACAACAACCTGAACCTGCACCACAGTCTAGTTGGCAACCAAATCCAACACCTCAACCGTATTAAAAAATTATATTTTTACCGTTCGATAGTAGTTGTATATGAAACTAAGTTCTAAGTAAAACGCATGGTATAATGGAATTATTCTTTTTCTTCCATCTGTAGTAAACCATACTTGAAAGTCTGAAATACTTCCACTTGGTGGTTCGTATAACTTTGTAGGTTTTTCGTAAAAGTCATTTGCCAAGCATAAGAAAGAGTTTTGGGCGCCAGAAAATGAAGCATGAACAATAATAGCATCTTGGTCGAAAACATTTTCATATGTTCCATTAGGGTTTTCGACTTCATAAAAGTCTGGGTGTACTGGATATGCTGCAGGCTGATTTAACATCCTCAAAAATCTATACCATGCCAAGTTGTTATATTTTGTAGAAATATAAACGTTTTCTCCAAGGTCTTCTATTCTATTGATTTTAACAGTTGCATTTTTCCTGTCATAAATAATATCGAGATGGTACTCTCCCTCGTCAATGTTATACTGTTTTGCATATTCGAGATAGATATCGTTTATTTTTTCTTGAAAAGCTTGAAGAGTTGTTTCTAAGTTTGCAAACAAACTAACTTGTAAAAGTTTTCCCTGTTCAAATTTCTCATACGTACGTTTTTCTTTGTTATAGTATCGAACTTCAAAACCGACTGTAAATGGGAAACCATGTATGGCTTCTGAAATGAACTTCATTCTACGAAAGCCAATAGCTTTTGTGACAGATGGGTCTCTTAACCATCTTAACGGGTAGTCAAAACGATAGCCTTCATGCTTTACGGTCTCTGTCTCAAACTTTTGACCGACATTCGTAAAAAGTTCATCTAATGGTTTAGTTGTAGCAACTCTTGAATTTTCTTTTTCTATTGAAAGCATATTTTATCTAGAATAAAAATGTCGAAAGAAACAGCGTCTATGAGAGAAATACAACACAACCGACAACTCATTTTGCAAGCTCTAAATAAGAACACAACAAACTTTTCAAACTATTCTAAGATATCTGAGTCATTGAAAGAAGGAAACTTAAAACTGACGATAAACCCAATGACAGACGAGTTTCTGTTTCAAGACAGTAAGAACCATACTGTTTGTATAAATCCAACAAAAGGAACTTTAAACGAGAAACCTATATCTGAACTTCTTTTGAAAGCAGATGTTGGCAACAAAGCTGACAAAGAGTATGTCATTGAAAAAGTTCAAGAAGAACATGACAGAGCAGATGCAACATATGCAACGAAAGAACATACTCATCCTGAACTAGCAGACAAAACATATGTTGACAATAAAATGTCAAGTGAAGTGACAAGAGCTGACAAAGAATATTCTAAAAAGACTCATATACATACCATTGCAAATATTACAAACTTACAAGAAACCTTAAACAGTAAAAGTGCCGTTGGACATACACATACCATTGCAAATATTACAAACTTACAAGAAACCTTAAACAGGAAAAGTGCCGTTGGACATACACATACATCTTCTGAAATAACAGACTTAAACGTTAGCCTTGAAAATAAAGCAGATAAAACATATGTCAATGAAATATACCAAAGTTTAGTTGGAACAAAAAATATTGAAACTATGGTTGGTGACCTTTCTGTCAATGAAGAAAACAAATATTTTAGATGGCAGTTTGTACAGTCCTTAGAAAATGGTACACGGTGTAAACTCATTCCGAAAAATAACAATGAAATGTATGTAAGCTATAAAAAGAATGATGGTACACAAGTTAAAGTTCCATTAGACAACAACTGCTACTTAAACTTCTATGGAGACGAACAAAAGAAATATTTAAGAGTTTATGAAATGACAGATATGACATTGCCTGACCCAGCTCCAGCACCATATTATTATGACTATGGAGATGACGTCAGAACACCACATGTAGATGAACAAAAGCTAACATTATATTTAGATTTTTATAGATATAAAAGATATAATGCAATAGAAAAAACGAGAATAGTATACTATTATGAAGATGACAGAAATAAATATTATAGTCAAGACTTTACCTACCCTGAAAACATAAGATTATATTATAAAAAATATTCTGACACAAACCAGAAGAAACCTGAAATAGTTGCACTATATTTTAAGTTCAAAAGAGACAATCCTATAATGTCTCATATGTTTGATTTAATGAACCCAGTAGGTTCTATTTATACATCTATGGAAGCAAGAGGTCCTCAAGTAATGTTTGGTGTTGGTGCATGGGAACAAATAGTCGACAGGTTTTTGTATTGTGCAAACTCTTCAAAGGAAACAGGTGGAAGTAAAACGATTTCAGGTGAAAATTTACCTGCACACAGTCACTACATAGATTTAAGTACATCTCAAGCAGGTTGGCATAGGCATAGATATTGGGATTGGTCAGGAATGACAAAAGGTAAAGGATATGATGTTAAAGACGACGTTAAGTTTGCTATAAATTGTTACTGGAGTGACACTCAGGGAGAAGGAAACCATACACATTTCGTTTCAGGATATACGCAAACAACGGGACAAAGTAAAGACTACATGCCACCTTACATGACAGTTTACGCATGGTATAGAATTGCTTAGTCGTCATTTTCAACTTCTTTAGCATATTCGTCAGGAGTTGTCTTATATTTGTTAGGAACTGTCTTTGAAAGTATACCACCTTGAACTTTGACAAGTTTGAAACGAGGTCTGACAATAGTTTTATCTTCTGCTTGCAGTGTGTACATTTTGCCATGTTTGCCTAAAACTTCATAATATTCTCTTGTATACTTTCTTCTATTTTTACGAACACGAATGTGAGTACCTGTCGGGTACTTGTTGTTGTCATAGTCAATAGTATTTTCATATGGGTCGCGTTTGGGTATTTCTATTTTTACTTTGTCACCTTTCTGAAGTTTGAAGCCTGGCATTCTTTCTTGTTTGTCTCTTTTGACTAAATTGTTAAATATATAGTCTTTCTCTAAGTCAGGGTTGTTTTTCATTTCTTCGGGGGAGTGGTTTCCCAAACCTTTTTGTTTACGGCTATTGTAAATATTTAAAACTTGTCTCATCTTTGCCATGGAGAAATGTCTGTACTTGTCGTCATATGACATTTCATTTGCTTCACCACCTTGTGGTTGGTTTAAGTCTCTTAACATTTTTATACAACCGTCAATGACACCAAGAGCAGAATGGTTTTGGTCGACAATGAAATATTGGTTTACATTTTTTGAACGCAGATAGTTCTTTACATCATCTGATTTGAAAGAACTTTCGTAGTCAGATGTCAGTTTTGTTGGATGGTATTTGTCAACGAATATTGTCAAAGCAGTTTTCACATCTAAAATATTTTTGGACCATAATGGTATGGCTTCACAGTATCTTGTGTTTTGACCAACAAATATTAGCCAGTATGGAGGTCCATCTTCTCTATACCTCGGAATGTTTTCCAAGATATCCATAAACCAAGCATTTGGTGTTGAACTAAAGATTTTTATCATGAGTGCTTTCTTTGTCGCTTTAGAAACATAGGGGTCCTTGTTTGGATTCGTCATTTTTAACCATAAGAAATGGGTTTATTTGGCGCATTAGCAGGAGTTGCATCCAGATTTTTGCCCGCAGTGGGAACAATAGCTAGAGGTGCATTTGGAATTGGAAGGAAGATTTTGAGTACATTAGGTATACTTAAAGAGAAAGCACAACCTATTATACAAACTGTACAGAAAGGTTGGGATGTAGCACGAGATGCAGCAAATCTTATTCCAAATCCTGAAACAAGAGGAAAAGTTCAAGGATGGATGGACAATGTAGGAAGACAAGCAGGAAACTATTATAACAAAGCAAATGACTACTATAACCAAGCAGGACACTATATGGACCAAGGTGAAAGATTCTTTAACAGAGGATATAACCATGCACAACAATGGGTAAACAATAACCAACCTCAACCGCCTCAAACGTGGGGAATGTAAAATTTTTTACTGAGATGAAATGAACAATACAGCATTGAGACAAATGGGTTCAAGATGGATTTGTCGACTTCCAGCAGTTACACAACGTGTTTGTCAAGTTCTTCCTATACCTCAGGAAGTTTTAGACCGACTTAAAAAACCTAAACAACCAGTTGAAAACAAACCAAACTAAAATTTTTTACTGAGATGAAATGACCGAAGAAGTTGAAACGGTAGATTTGACACCACAAACAAAAAGTTCAGAACCATTGTCAAAACCTGTCAAAGAACTTACAGATGAAGAGAAAAATTCAATAATAGAAAGTGCCAGGTCTGGAAATACAAACCCTAACTACAAAGTCACTTTTCATAGAAATGGAACGGCAAGTATCTCAAAAAAGAAACAGACTCTCACAAATAAAATATTGAAGTCTGAAGGAGCTTTCGAGACAACAGATGGAAAAGTTTACTTCACTGACCAACAGTTCATTATAGAACATCTCATTGACTTAGAGTCGAAATATTCTAAACTTTACAACAAACACAAAAAGTTGAAAGGAAAACAAAAACAAATGGCATATGATATTTATGAAGATGTTGACGACACAACTGTTCCTGCAAGTGAAGTAAAGTCAGAGAAACCGAAAAGTGACGAAAAACCGATAGAAGAAGAGAAACCAAAAACGGAAGATAAACCAAAACCAAAGTTTAGTTTCCAAACTAAACCAAGTCAACCTTCATTAGCTGGTATGGGTTGGCGTCAAAGACTTATGATAGCAGGTGGCTATGTTAAGTAAAGAAAAAACATTTTTTATTTTTATTTGAAATGTACGCTGAGTCTGTCGCAAAAGACCGTTGGGAAGACATAGATGAAGAAGTCTTAACAAAAACATTGACGATGAAGTTCATGAGAAATTAGATGATGAAAGTTCATGAGAAATTAGATGAAGAAGTCTCAACAAAAACATAGACAAGAAAGTTCATGAGAAATTAGATGAGAAATATGAAATGGCATACCATTTAAAATAAAAACATTTTTTCAAAAAAACATTTTTTTATTTTATTTGAAATGTACGCTGAGTCTGTCGGAAAAGACCGTTGGGAAACTTGTTTGTTAGATGAGAAATATGAAATTCACTGTTGTGAGTCATTTGAAGTCAGAAACAAAAAGACAAAAAGAGTTTTAAGCGAATGGGAGCAAAATGACGGATATGCTAGGATGAGGATTGGTGGAAAACACTATTTTAAACATGTTGTCATTGCAACTCATTTTATACCGAATCCTAACAATCTACCCTTTGTAGACCATATAAACCATATAAGAAATGACAATAGACTTGAAAATTTACGCTGGGTCACTTGTTCTGAAAACAGTAAGAACATAGGCAAATTTCGAGATATTGTATTCGAATTTGTCGACGAACTAGAAGATGAAGCAATTGAAATTACAGACTATGGTAAGCATACGTTTGAGTTTTACTACTATAGCGAAGAACAAGACTCTTTCTACCTTTATACCGGCGTAAACTATAGAAAATTACAAGTATGTTTTACTAAGGCAGGCTATGCTTATGTAAACACTAGAGATACAGTTGGAAAACACGTTCATATATTTCTCAACAAATTCAAGAAGCTATATGGCATACCATTTTAAAACATTTTTTAAAACAGTATATTTTTACATATATTAAATGTTTCAGGTTGAAAAACAAAGAACAAAAGTAGTAGATACAAAACCGTTAGACTATATCTTTACAAACGCCGGTAGGACTATATCAGATGAAGAAATTTCATCCCGTACTTACAGGTTTGACTATCCAATTCGTTGGCTTCAAAGTCCTTCAGATGCAAAGGCAATAGGATTTAGAAGAGTTTTGTTTTCAAATAGAACTAACGCTTTTATGTTTGCAGTATATTTTCATGGTCAGTATAGAGGTTCTGATGGTCTAATAGACAAATTTGATGAAATGAGAATCTTTACAATTCGTTCAGACGAAAACCTTGAGAAGACTCTAAATGACTTTCAAACTCAAATAAACAAATACTACTGGGAATTTCAAGAAAAATACGATTCTTTACTAAATGGAACATACTATCTGAAACTAGAATATGACAAGATGAACTCCACAGTTTCATTTCAAAGGATTGAAAATAACCCTCCAAGAGATACACAGTTTTTATTTTGGGAAGTAGACAAACGTTCTTGGGCACAATTTCTTCGGTTACTAAACCAGAACGAACCATTACCACCTGACGGTCCGTTTAAATTTATACGCCCACCAACAGATTTGACAGTTTATAGAAACGTGTTTGACCCTCAAAATGTCATGTGTCATGCAAGTTTCAGTTCAAGCAACAATAGTTTTCTTTGTATTGGTAAGGACTTTTATGACTTTGCTTCTAAATTCTACGAACCACCTAGTAACAGTTTCTCTGACTTTCAAGTTTGGTTTACAACAAACGGTGTGCAACATATTATTCCATTGTACTATGACTTTTATCTCGAATTGTCTTTCATATATAACTACGGAAAAGTGCTGAAAAAGTATTGAAAATAATGTTTAGGTGAAGAGGTGACATCTCACCCGTTTTCTCACCTCTTTTCTCACCTCATGAATTTTCATGAAAACAATTTATTTTAAAACAATATATTTTTTTTATTTTATTTGAAATGTACGCTGAGTTTGTTGGAGAAGACCGTTGGGAAACTTGTTTGTTAGATGAGAAATATGAAATTCACTGTTGTGAGTCATTTGAAGTCAGAAACAAAAAGACAAAAAGAGTTTTAAGCGAATGGGAGCAAAATGACGGATATGCTGATATGAAGATGGGTGGAAAACACTATCTTAAACATGTTGTCATTGCAACTCATTTTATACTGAATCCTAACAATTTACCTTTTGTAGACCATATAAACCATATAAGAAACGACAATAGACTTGAAAACTTACGTTGGGTCACTTATTCTGAAAACAATAAGAACAAAGGTAAATTTAGAGATATTGTATTCGAATTTGTCGACGAACTAGAAGATGAAACAATTGAAATTACAGACTATGGCAAGCATACGTTTGAGTTTTACTACTATAGCGAAGAACAAGACTCTTTCTACTTTTATACCGGCGTAAACTATAGGAAATTACAAGTATATTTTACTAAGGCGGGCTATGCTTATGTAAACACTATAGATACAGATGGAAAATACGTTCGAATACTTCTTAACAAATTCAAGAAGCTATATGGCATACCATTTTAAAACAATATATTTTTACATATATTAAATGCTTCAGGTTGAAAGAATACGGTGGAGCCAAAAGTGGCTCGACCTCAAAACAAACATTTTATGAGCTTACAAAGGGTGTTATGAATGAATTCAGCAACATACATCCTGACCTCGTTCATTTTGTTGCTAAATTCAGTAAAAATATATTTTAGGTGAAGAGGTGACATCTCACCCGTTTTCTCACCTGTTTTCTCACCTCATGAATTTTCATGATTTCATCGTAAATGTTTTGTCGAAACTTCTTCATCGTAAATGTTTTGTCGAAACTTCATCGTATATGTTTTGTCAAGACTTCTTCGTAAATGTTTTGTCACCTCTTGAATTTTCATGAATTTCTTCGTAAATGTTTTGTCGAAACTTCTTCATCGTAAATGTTTTGTCAAGACTTCATCGTAATGAGCGTAAATGACCCAAAAATATAATTTAGGTGAAGAGGTGACATCTCACCTGTTTTCTCACCTCTTTTCTCACCTCATGAATTTTCCCGAAATAAAAAATAAAACTAACTTTATTTTTATTTATTTTTTTATTTTGTATAAAAGACATGATTTCAACAATCGGCACAACAACAGTTCAAACAACTACAGCACCAAACTCGTTAGTCATGAATCCAACATCTATGTTGGTAGAGATGAAAAACTTCATTCCTTCTTCATATACTTTCGAAACAAAAATCCAGAAGATAAAGCAGGAATTGTTAACAAGTAATTTAGACTGTAGTGCGAAAGATGAAACAAATGAACAGTATCTTTATGACATGCAGGATATTATTGACCATTTGCCTAAATTGCCTGAAATCCAACAGCAAAAACTCACTATTCCCGAATTTGACGAAATTGAAGTGAAACCAACTGACTCAGTAGAAATAAAGAAGTTCATACGAAAGGTAAACTATGAGTTTCTAGGATTTCATTGCAACCATAAGGTTATGGACAAAGATTGCGACATGGTATATAAAAATGTTTCTGACCTTTACAAAACCCGGGAGTTTAAGACCTACGACAACTTTGTTTCGTTAGTTGCAAAATGTGTATGGGAAATAAGAGATAAAGATAGAAGAGGTAAGGTATGGAATGAACAGATAAAACCAACTGCTTCAGATTTAAAGAAAACCATTGACGCTTTAGTTGTTTTAGCTGGTAAGGTTTCAGAATATAACGCAAAAATGAACCCGCAATGTTCTAAATGTAAAGCAGCAATGAGGAGATATAACTACTCCGTCAAAGAGATAGAAAGAATGAGAAACGACTATGCAGATTTAAAGAAAGAAGCAGAAAAGCCAGCAGAAAATAAAATGGACATGTTAGAATTTCTGAACAAAAACTATCCAACTGCAGAAGATTTCCTTCTATCTGACGTCAAGAAGAAGTATAAAGAAACTTTCGGTATCGTTAAAACATTCGATGTACTAAAAGAAGAAATAGAAGCTACAAAACTGTTTAGGATTTCAAATATACATCGTACAATTCATGTAAAACGCTTATAAAATAACAGGTGAGAAAAGAGGTGAGAAAACGGGTGACATCTCACCTCTTCACCTAAACATTATTTTTATTGAATTCAGCAACAAAATTCTGAGTAAAATAATTTTTAGGGCATGTGTCAAACCGTTGAGTTTTCACAAAATTTAAAAAATAACGTTTACCATGTAAAACGTTTATAAAATAACTAGGGTGAGAAAACAGGTGAAAAAACGGGTGACATCTCACCTCTTCACCTAAACATTATTTTTGGTCATTTACACTCATTTACGAAGAAGTCATGACAAAGCATTTACGATGAAATCTTGACAAAGCATTTACGAAGAAGTCTTGACAAAACATTTACGAAGAAGTCATGACAAAGCATTTACGAAGAAGTCATGACAAAGCATTTACGATGAAATCTTGACAAAGCATTTACGAAGAAGTCTTGACAAAACATTTACGAAGAAGTCATGACAAAGCATTTACGAAGAAGTTATGACAAAGCATTTACGAAGAAGTTATGACAAATTCATGAGGTGAGAAAACAGGTGAAAAAACGGGTGACATCTCACCTCTTCACCTAAACATTATTTTTGGTCATTTACACTCATTTACGAAGAAGTCATGACAAAGCATTTACGATGAAATCTTGACAAAGCATTTACGAAGAAGTCTTGACAAAACATTTACGAAGAAGTCATGACAAAGCATTTACGAAGAAGTTATGACAAATTCATGAGGTGAGAAAACAGGTGAAAAAACGGGTGACATCTCACCTCTTCACCTAAACATTATTTTTGCTGAATTCCGTATGAAATTTCATGAATTTCATTAGTTAGAAAAAATAAAGTTAGTTTTTTATAAAATATTTTTTTTATTTTGTATGTAAGAACAGAAATGTTAAACATTGAGTTTGAAACAGTTAAAAAGATAGACAATAACACTAAATTGGTTAGAATTGGTGATTTAAACGTAAGATACTCAAAGAAATACAACAAATATTCTTTGTCAGACATTATATCTCCATCTGGAAAGAAAACATGGCATTGGGTTGGAATTGCTTCAACTCAGAAAATTTTGACAAGAAATCCTGAGCTTATGATATCGGTAAGATTCTATGGAACTACAGCATATCTTATAGACAAAAGTCTTATACCAATAGTTTTGTTATGGTTAGACCCAGTTGTTGGATATAACTTCATAACATATGGTTCGTTCGACTCAGAACGTTGCAGTGAAGGCTTACTTTACATCGTTCAGAAACCGAAGGACTTCAATACAAAGAGATATAAGATAGGAAGAACATATAATATAACTCAAAGATATGACAGTACAGTCAATAGAGTCAAGGTTGTGTTTGTTAATGATATGAGAGCTGCAGAAACAGAACTACTTGAAAAGTTTGAGAAAATGTATGGTGCTCCCACGAAAGGTAAAGAAACGTTTGAAGTAGATGAGATAGGTAAAGCTATAAAATTATTTGACGAAGTTGCTGAAAAATACATGTAAAGCGTTTATTTTTACGCTTGACTTCAGATGGCTCAGGTAGTTCCTAACTAGCTCATTTATCTCTATAAGGTAGATTGCCTCATCTGCTGGTCTATGTCGGTCATTGTTTCAAGACAAGTCTTTTACTTTTTCAAGACAAGTCTTTTACTTTTTCAAGACAAGTCTTTTACTTTTTCAAGACAAGTCTTTTACTTTTTCAAGACAAGTCTTTGACTTTTTCAAGAAATTTTTTGGTGTCAAGTTCTCAAATTTGAGAACAGTGGTCTTGATATCAGACGATACCCGTACTTTTTCAAGACAAGTCTTTTACTTTTTCAAGACAAGTCTTTTACTTTTTCAAGACAAGTCTTTTACTTTTTCAAGACAAGTCTTTTACTTTTTCAAGACAAGTCTTTTACTTTTTCAAGACAAGTCTTTGACTTTTTCAAGAAATTTTTTGGTGTCAAGTTCTCAAATTTGAGAACAGTGGTCTTGATTTCAGACGATACCCGTACTTTTTCAAGACAAGTCTTTTACTTTTTCAAGACAAGTCTTTTACTTTTTCAAGACAAGTCTTTTACTTTTTCAAGACAAGTCTTTTACTTTTTCAAGACAAGTCTTTTACTTTTTCAAGACAAGTCTTTTACTTTTTCAAGACAATGTCCGACGTCAGTCAGTAAATTTTATCGTCCAACCTTACAAATGTAAACTTATATAGTTCTATTTTCTTCACTAGGGTCTAACACCAAAGTAGCCTTACAAATGTAAACTTATATCGTTCTATTTTCTTCACTAGGGTCTAACACCAAAGTAACCTATGTACATGAAATTTCACTGCATAAAAGGAAAAAACCTGCGCGAATCGGGATTTGAACCGAGGTCTTCGACGCCTGTAGCGAGGTAGCCCATACCACTGAGCTATGAGCCGCTTGCATATTTTTAAGTAAAATATAGTATATTTGTCATATAGTGAAGGATGACCAAACTTAAAAAAAATAACGCTAATTTTTAAAAAAATATTTTTTTTATTTTGTATGTAAGAACAGATATGACAACAACAGAGAACACAACAACTGCTATCGTTCATGAAGCTATAAATGAAGAATATGAGTGGGTTCAGTTTAACAAACAGTTACGTCTCATTCGTTCGGTCAAAGACGACATGTACCAAATGCAAAGTATTTTGACAGCATGTTTTGCTCCAGATACTAAGAAACCACAAGACTGGTTTGAATTAAATAGCACTCATGAACTCCTCAGTGAGTTTGAACATGTAGAACTTAAAAAGATGTACCAAGACAGACAAAACTTACCATCACATCTAAAAGGTATATATGTTCATAAGTTCCTAGTTAGTTCAATAGCAATGTGGGCTTCACCTCGTTATGCAATCTACATACTTATGCTACTTGACGAACTTTGTACAAAGCAGAGAGAAGATATGATGAAAGAAGACAAAAGCCTTCAGAAAAGAATACCACGTTCGGTACCAAAAGGAAAGGAAAAGAACTATAAGTATATGATTTATACTGAAGAGATGGAAAATGAAGAAGACAGAGATATGGTTATGTTGCATTTAGTCAGAAGAAACAACAAAAGCTTTTACGACCTTGCTAAGATTTACAAATCTGACAGAAATTGGTTCTATCGCGAAAACTTACCGATTTCAATGACACCAAATGAAGATGTGAAACAAATAGTTCAAGATACGTTACCTCAAACACACTATGATATTAAAGGTTGTACAATTTTTACCTTCAAAGAAGACTTACCGCTACTGAAGGAAAAAATAACAGAGTATTTTGACAACTTCAAACAAGCAGGGTAGATGAACCATTTATTTTTACGCTTGACACCAAAGATGGCTCAGGTAGCTCTAGATGGTAAATTGGCTTGTCAAATCCTTCTGGCATTCCGAGTCCTTCCATCCGACAAGAAAAAAATTTCCCGACAACAGGAAAAAAATTTCCCGACAACTGGAAAAATTTTTCCTGTTGTTCGTCCGTAAACCATTCAAATTTTCGAAAATTGAGAACTTTTTGGTCGAACGACAGAAAAAGTTTTTCCTTCCAACAGAAAAAGTTTTTCCTTCCGACAGAAAAAGTTCTTCCATCCGACAGAAAAAGTTCTTCCATCCGACAGGACACAAACGGATGACTGACGTTCCTCTTCCTGAATGTCTTCCAAAGCCAGAAGAACCGAAAGCTGCAGAACCACAACAGACTAAGACTAAAACACTTACATTTTTACGCTTGACTTTTTACAATTTGAACTTTGTTTGCGTAGATATGAATTCTGAAAGAAGTATGAGGGTCTTGTATGACTTTGTACTTCTCCCATAGTTCATGTCTGTCAAACTTACCTGCCATGGACTCTTTCATAAGTTCCATGAAATCGTCTTCGGACAATCCGGGGAAAAGTACAATGTCAGTAAGTATTCTCTTTACATCCTTACTTAAACTCTTGGCTGTCTGTACACAAATGACAACTGAAATGTTAAAGTGCCTAAGTTTCTTAAGAATTCGACACATATCTTGTTCTCTGTTCTTTAACAAAGGATGAGAAGCAAAGTCATCTAAGATAAGAAGACATCTATGAGGGTATGTCTTCCAATCGTAAGATTGCAATTTCTTCGAAATGTATTCTATCTCTTTCTGTTTGTTTCTGAAGTGTTTCTTCTCTAATATTCTCTGCATTTCCTCATTTGGGTCTTTGAACTTAGAATTTATATACTCATTTATAGCATTATACTTCAAAACTCTTCTTTGGTACTTCTTTATCCAATCTAACAACTCAGTATCCTTTATACATACTAACTTAGACTTCTTTATAATATCTTTGAACGAATTGACGGTTTTGGTCAAATTGACCAGAAGTACTACAAATAACAACTAACTCATAGAATGGGTTCTTCTCATCTAGTTCTTGTTGTTGTGCAGCCATTTTAAGATAAGCGAAAGTCTTACCCGACCCAGGTGGTGCAATTAGACCTGTTATACCATTCTGAGCAAATAAGAACTTGTCATGTATGGGTTTTTATCTGAGCATTTTCTAACTTCCTCTTGTTCTTGTTTAAAACATTCTCAAATTTTTTGTCAATGTCAGCAAACTTTTTTTCTAACATATTTTTAGAAAAATTAAAAATTTTATCTTTTAGGAAATGTCTAGCGATTTCGCTATCTATATTCGAGACAAACTTTTTGACAGCAAAACATCTGTCGACCATAAAATCTTACATAGTGTAAACAAGAAAGGTGAATTTGTTCTAAAGTTCTGTTTCTGGGAATATGACAAGAACCATAAAACATTAGGCAGAGAAGTCTTTAAGTTTGTCAATGACAGACTTGTTGACAGAGATGACGCCTCTTGGAAAGATGAAGTCCAACAAAAGTTCTTAGAATGCAAAGAAGACACATGCGCTGTTCTTGAAGATGAAATAGGAAACAGAATAGAAGAGCTATTAAAGGACAAAGAACTTTTACAGAAATATGGTTCGGAGAAATTTGACATAACTCCACCAGAGAAGAAGAAGAGAGAAAAGAAAGAGAAGAAAGTAGAAGAGAAGAAAGAACCTGAACCAGTTCCAGAGAAAAAGAAATTTGACATGTAAAAATAAAATTTTATTTTAGAACATTTCTGGGTCAATGTCAATGTTCTCTTCCTCTTTAGGAGTAAACACTGGCTTAGACTCTAAAATCTTTTTACCCAATTTACCTTGAACTTCAACTATCTTAGACTCATAATATTCATAGTCGTCTGCTTTCTTTGGTTCATAAGGTATAACAAGTTTGTATGCTTTGCCTTCTTTAAGGTTTGAGAACCTTCTGTCAAAATTTTCTTTGACTGCTAACAAACCTTCTATGTCTAAGTCTTCAAATTTCGCACCATTTTTAGTCACAATAGCAAACTTAACTGGTTCGATGTTCCAAACTTTGCTGAATGAAGACTTTTCAAAATGGTAGAAGTAAACATTCAAATATGTGAATGGGTCTAGTTCTTCTTTGACTTCTGTCATGTACTTATTTACTGAAATATATTTCGTCATCTTTTCTATCGGATAAAAAAAATTTTTTTTAAAATTTACTCAGAAAAAATTTTCTTTGTATATACGCCATTCCGAACTTCGAAAAGATTTTTGACATTTGCCAAGAATGTTCGTTTAGAAGCTGCCATATAACCATATTCTTGACAATATTGTTTATACGAATCGTACAATGACCTTTCATCTAATGACACAAAGTTAGTCTCATCTATGAACAGTTCATATACACTCTTGTTTGCTTCTAACAATGTTTGTCTTTCTTCGGTATGTGGAATTTGTCTTGGATTGAACTTTGAAATATCTAATGTCATGAAATATGAGAACAAGTGGTTGTAAAAGTCAGATGTCAAAGTTTCTGCTAAGTCGTCAAAATATTCTGTATCTTGCATATGAGAATCTGACGTTCTGACAACTACATATCTTCTGTCAGAACTTTCTAACTTCATCGGAACAGCATTGTTTGAAACCATAATGAAGTTTGCAACATTTTCACAAACTCTTTGGTCTTTATACTTTCTTTCAACAACTCCAACTTTGTCTGTTATAAGACTCTTCAAAGCATCTGAGTTCAAAACTTTTGTTGTATCTATACTTTGAAGTTCATTGCAAACTATAAGTTTCATATTCTCTATTGAGGAGTTAAATTTACCGCAGATGTTTTCTAAGTTTGTCATATTCGGATTCGAATAGCCCTCTAATAGTTTGCATAAGATATCTGTAAAGAATGTGTTCTTACCTGTTCCTTGTTTTCCAATTATAATGAGAGCAGTTTCATTTTTAGCACTTGGATGTTGTAAGATGTTTGCAAACCAACATAAGATATACTCATAGACTCTTTCGTTTCCATTGCATATAATTTCTTTGACATGGTCTAACCAAGCTTCTATAATACTGTGTTTCCATTCTACTTGTTCATATTTATATCCAGTGAAGATAGAATAGAAGTTTGGAGAAGGTGTATAGAACTTTATACCTCGAACTGAAAAATCTTCTAACTTTGACAATAAGATATCCCAAGCATCTAACATCTTCATGCCAACTTGTACAACTTTTATTTTCTTAAGTTTCTGTCTACATTCTTGTTCAGACACTATTGTTGCTCTTGGTTTGTTAAAGACAACATCCCATTCTTTCATGACATAACATTCTGGGGCAGAGTCAACATAAATGACTAAACGTTTCAAATTCTCGACTGCTTTGTTATAGTCTCTAAATGGACACATATTTCTGAATGCTTGGAAGTCATAAAAATCTGAAACATCTATTCTGTACATTTTTATAAAAATAAAAAAAATATTTTTTTTATTCTTGACTTTGTTCTTGAGCTATTTGTTGTTCTTGAGCTATTTGTTGTTGAAGTTGTTCTTGTAATACAATACTTTCACCAGTTGCATCTTCCAATTCGAAACTTTCTGCCGTCATTGACAAATACATAGGACATAAAAGTTTTACAGGAACAAAGTTTGCGTCAACTAATGTCAACGTTATACTTGCCAAAGTGTTTGAGTTCACTAAGGTTGAAAATTCTGCATTCGAATGAACAATAGGCAAACCAGCAGAGAAAGTATTGTTTATACGCATAAGTATCTTTTGGTCATAATAGTTTCTGTCGACATTCGAATAACACTTTGAACCTAAGTTTGAAACAAATATATAAGATTGGTGTGCTTAAAGTCAATGGAATAGACATTCCTTGTATGACACCTTTTCCTGTTATAGGAAACTGTTGGTAGTAAAAACCAGATATAAGTTTTGTATTATAGCTCATATCGTTTATAGTAAACTCAGTCGGACATCCAAACATAATGAAACCTGCTCTAGTTGCAGCACATGTTACACCCGTACTTAAAGTATTAAATAAGTCAACAAAACCTGTTGGTGGTATATCTGAGTAAGTATCTTCAAAGGAGTATTTTTTACCATTCACAACAATAAAATCTTCTGGTGTCAAAAGAGCAAAACAGGCTTTAGTCGTCATTGTGTTTAAGGTTAGTTTACAATATCGTCCTTGAGGACTTTGTAAGTTTGTTGTTATAGAATTATATGACTCAGGGTTTTTGGTCGTAATAGTATAAACCACTATGTCTTCTGCCATTTACATATATTTAAAAGTTTTTCTGAAAGTGGAGAAGAACTTCATCTAAACTTTCACATGGCGTTTCTTGAAGTTCTCTGTCTAAGAAGTTCAAATATTTTGTAAAGACATAGAACTTTCCTTTGTCTACACGAACAAACAAAACAGGGTCTTTCATATCGTTCAAAAGTGTGTAAAGTCCTTTACATGAAATAAAGTCTATATTATTTTTCTTCAAACATCTTTCAAGAAGTTTTGACATTTTTACTTAGCAAATAAATTTTAATGAAATGTTGTGGTCGTCAAATATTTTTATAACGTCTGGGAAACTATATTTTAAGTTCAACGTTTCACCTCCTTTCATAACGTATATCTTGTCAATGACATTATATGAAACACCACAGCAACTAATGTCGGGTTCTATTTTCTTTGATGTTTATATCGTCTGCCTCTGTCAAAAGTTTCAATAGTTCTTTCAAAACTTCATGAGGTGCAATGACATATGAGTTCACTTTTACAGGGTTGTGTTCGACCAAGTTTAACATTATACCTAAAGCTTGACAAATCTTCTCCTGAGTTTGAAGTTTGTCTTTAAGTTGTTGGTAGTCGTTTCGAATATCTGCAACAGAACTTAAGTCTCTGCTAACTTCAGGATATGTTGGTTCTTTTACAGGAACAATTGTTATACCATCTTCGTCTTCGTATGGTTTCCCCACTTCAACATCTCTGTCTTTGACATTGACAACAACACTTTGACTGTTTGTTTGAGTTGGTGAATTTAACTTCACATCTGCCACCGCCATTAAACCTTTTGAAACACTTACGCTTCTATTTTTCGGAAATGACATTTTACTTAGAATAAAAAGATGGACGTATTCGAGTATCTCTTCGAATTGAAGCAGAACAAAGTTTACACACACACAATACAAATACATTGACAGAATAGTTCTTTTATACAAACAATGGTAAATGTTATAGAATAGCAATATTTGCTGAACCAAAATATTTCCATAAAGCAAAGAAAGTTGGTATAACTGAAATGGTGAAAGTTCTTGACGTTGACAAAAATATAACTTCAAAACTTACAGATATTTCTAAAGGAAAGTTTATAATACAATATTATGTCAAAACTGGCGTACTGTCAATATTTGACGGAGAGAAGTCAGTTCAAGAAACAACTTACTGACCTGCTGCCAAAATCTGCTCGATGGAAGCTGTCGTTATGCCAATCTGAGGAGCCCCAGCAGGTTTCATCGAACGAATCTTCAAAAGAGCATCTTCCGTGAAAAGTGCTATTGGTTTTGTAAACTTCTTTGCTTTCAATTCATCTGGACCGTCTCTGTCACCAGTATATTGTATTTGAACTGTACCAACAGTTGAAATACCACCCATAAAGTCTTCTGAGTCAGCAAATGGAATGCCAAGCCAAAAGTTTGAACGGTCTCCATTTGTATATTGAGTTTTTTGACCTCCTGTATGAGTCCAGACTTTCACATATGGCATAATAGAACTTTGCATTTCAGGGTTAATGGTTGTTGTGAAGTTGTTGTTAAAGTTCATAGCATCTAATGTCAAGTTGTATGACCTCATATCCTCAACTGTAGAATATTCTTCTCTTGGATAATATTTGCCATCTATGTTTATATGATATTTAATACCGGGGTTGTAGAAACAAGAATAGTCATTTATAGTTCGTCTGAACAGTACAAACATAGTATCTGCATGTTTCATTGCAGTTGTCAAAGCAATATCTGTTCTTGCACCTGGGTCAGCACTTTGGTTTCCAACTTCACCTGCAAAGTCTTTGACAGATATTTGGTGTATAGGGAACATAAGTGGAACTGCAATATATTTGGCAGCTAAAGCATTTGAAATATCTGGGTCCAACATATAGACTGCAAGTCTGCTTTCTATTCTCTTGCATTCAAATTTTTCGCATGTGAACTTAACTGGGTCCCAAGCATCTCCAGCAGCATTGAAATAATAGTTTACTTCAGTGTTGAGGTTTGAGAAACCAAAGTCTAAGTCAACTTTGTTTTTGCAAAAAGTCGGCGAATGACATTTTATTTGTTCCCACTACTTCTGTAAGAGTGAATGGGTCTTGTGTGTTGGTGCAATGACTAAGTTATTTTTGCTTGGAGTAAGTTCACTAGAAATTTTTCCTGCCCAGTTTGGCAAGTATCTTAAAAACCTGAAGATGAGGAAAGATGACAAAGGAACTCTAAGTTTCAGTTTTACTTTGGTTACTGCTGCTGCAGTTTGTTCAGAAAGGTTAACATAAACTCCTGGAACGTTAGGGTCAAGTCTTCTTATTTTCTCAATAGTTGCATACTGGTCTGTTTGTTCTCTAGCTTGTGGTTGTACTGAGTTTCTCAAAGCGAACCATTCATAGTTTGCCATGTTACTGTTTGAACTAAGTCAGAGTTAGAATATATCTTATATCCATGAAAACTTCTGGAGCATATTGGTATCCGACATAGAAAATTCCAATTGCAACCTTTCTTGTCAGACAACTTGGCAGAAGGTTTTATTTCAATGTCTTGTTCCACGTATAAGAATGAGTTGTCAATAGAAATAATATGAAACCTGTCGCAAGCAATATCTACTGTTGTTGAAGAACCTTCTCCAAACTCACCTACGTTTCCATAAGAAACAGCAGGTTGTATATTCGTAAGTTCCAGGAACTATTTCTGACCTTCTAATGGCATTGTCGCATTCGTTATACCATTCGGAAACATTTCCGTTCATGGCATCCAAAACTGTTGGCGTTATATTCTGAGCGGCGTACATTTCATATGAGTAAAAATATAGAATAGTTGGATTTATATGTCATAATAGAACCCACTCGGACCAAGCTTTACTTTCTTCCTGACTGAGTTTTAACTCTTCTTTTTCCTTCATTGCCACTACTTTCACTAGATGAAGTTACTTCTTCACTACTTTCACTTTGTTCTACTCTTCCTTCTTCTTTGGTGTCGCTTTTGGTAACTTGCCCTCTGCTTCAAGTTGTTGCATCTTTGCCTCATGTTCACCTAGTATGTTGTAAATTTCCCATGTCCTTTTTTGCCTTTGGGCTCTGGTCGCCCATCTCAGGTAACCTATATCCTAGAAAGAGTTTGTCCATAGTTTGTATTTGAGTCTTCGCGTATTGTTTTGCATGACTCTTTCCTGAGTTTTCCGGTTCAAGCTCTTCAAACAGAGCTTGTCCATATGGAATAAGCTCGTTTCCAAATATATGTTTTTGTAGCCCATTCTGGTTTTCTTTCCATGTTACCAACAATATCTTTTGTGAATGGGAAAGCTTTTACCCAATCTTTCAGTCTTGCGTCATTTATTTCTGTAGTTGGTTTTATTTTGTCAAGGAACATGTTTTTCAATACTAACATTTCATTTGGTACTGTCCATTTGAGTTTTCTTAAATATTCATCCCTTCTCGGTTCATTGTCTGCAAAGTAAGTTTTTATGACATTTTGTAAACTTTCATTTGCAAGGTCATGTACAATAGGTTCTCTTCCTTCTCCCTCCCTAACTTTCTTTCTAAACTCTTCACCAAATATACCATCTCTATGGTTCTGTGTAGTTCTTTGAGATAAATGTTTTAGAACGTCAGGTGTTATATTTCCATCAGCCATGTTCATTTCATACTGGTCCAAAATATCTGCATCTTTCATATCTTTCAATGGCATTAAAGCCGCGCTGAAAATACCAGCTATATCTGGTTCACCATTGACTTCCATTGCGTCTACAACTTCTTGGAATTGTGGTTGTAAGTTTATGAACCACCTATCCGGGTTAGCTTTATGACCCCATCTCATTGTAGTTCCATCGTCTGCAGAAACAAAAGTAGGTTTGTTTCCATCTTGGTTAGGTTCTGAATGAACTTTAAACAATGTTTCATTTCTATATGTTTTCTTGAAATTTAACCTTTTATTTTCACCGAGTTCATCCGAAGATTGAACGTTAAATGCTCGTAAGTAAAAAGGGTTGTTGTATTTGTGTACATTTTCTTTCAGTTCTTCCATTCTATGCTGGATATTTTCATCTGATGTTGGAGTCTTTTGTATGTTGGTGAACATTTTTCGATATTCTTCTACTATGTCAGCCGAATTTTTCTTAGACTCTTGGAAAGATTCCATATTCTCCGCATACTCTTGTTGAGGGTCAAGAATTTTCGGCTGTTCCAAATCTTCATCTAGTTCTGTGAGGTTAGTTTCCAAAGGAGGGACTTGTTCGTTTCCTTCAGGCTCTTCTAGCTGTTGTTGCTGAACTATTTCTTCCATGTCTGGTTGTATCTGAACTAGTTCTTCCTGTGGAGTTTCTTGTACCTCATCTGCTGGCATTTCATATATTCCGAGACCGTTTTCAACAATTTCCCTATCTACGTCATCCGCATTCATAAGCTTTTGTTCTTTCGTTCCGTCTCTATTTTTTACGCGTTTCATGACGAAAGTTGAATTGTCATTTAGCTCTGACATCAAATATCTCGGAGTAAATTCATCCATGTCATTTGGATGATATGCTATTAAATCATATCCCTTAGCGAGCTTGTATTTTCCAGGTTTGAGATTATATCCGTTTTGGTGCTGAGCCATAAAGCTAAATAGGTCCGGGTCAGTATTTCCATCCTTGAACTTTCTAATAGCTTCTTTATATCTGTCACTAAAGTCAATACTATCTGGGAAACCACACTCTTCTTTAAGCATTTTTAAGAATTCTTGGTTTCCTTGTTCTCTACTTCTTTTATGTCCTTGCTCTGTTTGTGGTTGTTGTTGTGCAGGGTTTTGAACTGTTGGTTGCTGTGCTGGTTGTTGTGCTGGTTGTGGAGGTGGTTGTTGTGCTGGTTGTTGTGTTGGTTGTTGTGTTGGTTTTGGTGCATGCCTGTGTCTGTGTCCATGTGACGATGTAAATGTTTTAGGTAGTCCTGGTGCAGGTGCTTCTCTTGGAAGGTTTGGTGGTATATAAGTTCCACCAGCTGGCACATATGTTCCATCTGCAGCGTAATGTCCTACCTGACTTTTCGTTCTTAAGAAAGCATTTACTAGGTCTGTTTTGGTCTGTTGTAACTCTTTTTCTTGACTTTCCACAACAGTTGCTCTAACGGCGTCATAGGCACTTTGAACTGCCTGTCTCGTTGCTGCATCTGTTATTTTCGTCATATTTTGTGCTACTTCTCTTAACTCGTTGTCGAAACCTTCAGACTTCAGTTTCTTTCCAGATGAGAAGTCGTTCACTTGTTTCACCTTACTATGAAGAGCTTCGAAGGCGTTTTAAAGTCAGCATTCGTTAAAGCTTCATTTGAACTGTCTTCATCCGCTTGTATTTTTGTCCTTATTGACCCTATAAGCTGGGCTGCTTTAGCGTTGGCTTGGGCATCTAACCAGTCATTGTTAGCTTTTATATATTCTGCGCTTTTCATTGCCTTTTGCATGGCTGCGTCGTTATTTTTACTTTCTTGTGCTAAGTTTTCATACTGTACGGTTTGGTTTTGCAACTGTAAAAGTTTTTCTGCCTTTACATTTGCTTCAACTTCTTTTTTATACTCATCGCTATCCATATATGTCTTCAGGGCTTTTTGTTTTATTTCTTCATCTTTCAGTACTTTATATCGAGTAGTATGGTTTTTCAAATTTACAACATCTTGTTCCATTTTTGCTACTTCTGCTGCTTTTTCTGACACTTTTTTCGCATATTCCTCTGTACTTAGTTCTTTCAGTTGTTCTTCTTTCTTCTTTTTCTCTACGTTTAACTCATTGAGTTTCTTTGTGTGTCTGTCATATTCTAGTTTCTTTTCGTTTTCACTTATTTGCTTCTGTATGTCTATGTTTGACTTTTTGACATCTGATATTTGATTTTTGAGTGAACTCAAATTCATTTGACTTTGAGGGTTATAGGCTGTTCCGTCTGCAGCTCCACCATAGCCTGCCATTTTCGCTAAAAGTGCCGCTCTTAAACCTCCACTCTGTGCACCAAGAACTCGGTTTAAAAGCATAGGATTGCTTGACATTTGTTGCAACATAGTGGGGTCATTCAGCATTTGTTGTTGCAACTGTTGTTGTGGTGTTAGTCTTACTATTGGATGTTTCAATGCTCTCTTCCTCTTACGTATATTCTTACGTAGCTTACGTGGCATTTTAAGTGAAGTTAAAAACATTTACGATGAAGAAGTTTCGACAAAGCATTTACGAAGAAATCATGAAAATTCAAGAGGTGAGAAAACAGGTGAGAAAACGGGTGACATCTCACCTCTTCACCTAAATTATATTTTTGGGTCATTTACGCTCATTACGATGAAATCATGACAAAACATTTACGATGAAGAAGTCTTGACAAAACATTTACGAAGAAGTCTTGACAAAACATTTACGAAGAAATCTTGACAAATTCAAGAGGGTAGAAAAGGTTAGAAAAGAGGTTATATCTAACCTTCTACCCTAAACATTATTTTTGTCTGATTTTACGAAGAAGTCTTGACAAAACATTTACGAAGAAGTCTTGACAAAACATTTACGAAGAAGTCTTGACAAAACATTTACGAAGAAGTCTTGACAAAACATTTACGAAGAAGTCTTGACAAAACATTTACGAAGAAGTCTTGACAAAACATGAAAACATATATAATTTGTGAAAAGCTCCTGGAAGACCTCCGAATAAAAACTTCATTTATGTGGGCTAGAAGGCACGAAGTGCCTGGAAGGTCACCCAAGAAAAAAAAACTTCATTATACTCATTCATCCTCAGGGCTAGAAGGCACGAAGTGCCTGGAAGCCCCACTACCTTTTTTTTTTTTTTTTTTTTTTTTTTTTTTTAAAAATATAATTTTGAGATAATTATGTAAATAATATTTTAAATATTTGAATTTGAGGTATAATTTTATAGTAAAATATATTATAAAGAGTATTTATATAAATATTGTAAAATAATATAAGTAATAAAAATTGAGACCTCCTCCCTGTTTTTGATGTTTTGTCACTTTTTCGGTAATTCTTATTGTTTCAGAAACTCCTCTTAGAACAGATTTGTTACCAACCATTCACGAAATAAAAGCTAAGTACAATCTAGGTTATAAAAAAGTTTTAGAGAGTTACATACATGATGACACAGTTTCATTTCACGATATGCTTAAATTATACGAAAAAGAGAATCTTTTCAAATTTCGGCGAGATCCAGAAAAAATTGATGAACATCCAAATCAGTATGTTTCCCAATACGTAAATCAGCAATGGCATACTGATTTAAAAAGCTTCAAAGAAGAGACAAATGGTACCAAGCATACTTATCATTTAATTGCCTTTATCGATGACAGATCTCGTTTTTGTATTTATTACGAAATTCTTCCCGATAAAACAATGAAATCAACTTCAAAAGCTTTACAAAATGCTATCGACTCTATCAAAATTATTCCATACGAACTTTTGACAGATAATGGATGCGAATTTACAGGAAAGGACTTCAAAAACGTTCTTCAAGTAAATGGCATTCAACACCATCGGACAGAACCTTACACACCACAGTTAAATGGTAAAATAGAACGTTTTTGGCAAACAATCTTTTCGGCTCGCCCAGATTTTATCGAAATAAGAGAATTTTTACCTCACGCAATAGAAGAATACAACACAGTATGGGTTCATACAGCTCTTAAAGATCTTTTCGGTGGAAAACCTACTCCAAAATCAATTTGGGACCAGGGTCCTAAATGGACAAAGGACTTAAACCCAAATCCTGAGTTCGAAATACAGCCTCGTAACTAAAAATAAAGTAAAAATACGAATAAACATTTTATTATAATTTAAATAATTTTTTTATTCATAAAGTAATACGATATATAGCTAAGCTATGTAAGGATATTCTGATGCTGAGAGTTTAAGAACTTTAAATTACGTATAGAAAAAAAATTCATTTAATATTTTGTAACATTTTTTAAATTGATAGATAGTTAGATTTTGTAGGGGAAGGTAAGATTCTTTGTGGTAATAATGGTCGTTGAAATTAAAATGAATGTAAGATTTGTGGAGAAATTGTATAAATTTGCATAGTGTTAGATTCAGAATAGGAGCATATGAGCCAGTGATTGTGTCTAATGTTTTTAAGGTGCTAATTGGAAGTAGAAAAGAAAAAAATTTGTTGCAATAACATCATATTGCAAAAAAGTTTTTAAAATATGATGTATGAATAAGAGTATGATTGGTATAGATTTGGGTTGTATAAATGTGATTGAACAATTGTTAATGGAAAGTTCAAAAACTTGGGTGCAATCAGAACTGATTGCACCCAAGTTTTTGAACTTTGTATAAGGAATTGTTGGCTATGATGTACTGATCATGAATCAGTACATCATAGCCAACAATTCCTTCGCAAACAGCGGGAAACTTTGTCTGAATAGTTTAACATTCAGACAAAGTTTCCCGCTGTCGAGAGGAATGGAAGGGTAAGAGGTATACATTATAATGTATACCTCTTACCCTTCCATTCCCTCGAGAAAGTTCAAAAACTTGGGTGCAATCAGAACTGATTGCACCCAAGTTTTTGAACTTTGTATAAGGAATTGTTGGCTATGATGTACTGATCATGAATCAGTACATCATAGCCAACAATTCCTTCCCAAACAACCCGAAATTTGTCTGATTCCACACTAATTTTATTAATTTATCTAAACTTTTATCCTCGTCTACAATTTAATCATCAATAATTATCTCTTGTTCTATTTCACTATATATATATATATATATTTATATGATTTGATTTAAAAAAAATAAATAAATAAATTAATAAATCATTTACTCAAATATATCAAAAGTTTTATTTTTATATATAAAGATAACTACTTTTAAAAAAAATACCCTATATATTTTTGCCATGTAAACTATTTTTGCCATGTAAACTTGTCACTTTTGTCAGAAGTGAAGTGAACCGAATTTTCATGCACAACACATTTTAATTTCAACGACCATTATTACCACAAAGAATCTTACCTTCCCCTACAAAATCTAACTATCTATCAATTTAAAAAATGTTACAAAATATTAAATGAATTTTTCTATACGTAATTTAAAGTTCTTAAACTCTCAGCATCAGAATATCCTTACATAGCTTAGCTATATATCGTATTACTTTATGAATAAAAAAATTATTTAAATTATATAAAAATGTTATTCGTATTCTTACTTTATTTTAGTTACGAGGCTGTATTTCGAACTCAGGATTTGGGTTTAAGTCCTTTGTCCATTTAGGACCCTGGTCCCCCAAATTATTTTGGTAAAAATTCCCTTTTTGTGGGGGGGAAAATGGGGGGGGAAAAGCTTTACCCAATCTTTCAGTCTTGCGTCATTTATTTCTGTAGTTG